TGATACAGAATCTCCAAAAACCCCAGATCAAAAATATATTTAACAATGAAATGTAAAAAGCATTTCTTCTGGGATCATGAACTACACAGGGTTATCCACTATAATTATGCCATGGCAATCTTTTTCTAAAGATCCTGGCAGAGATTAAACACAAAGGGGAAAAAGTTATCAGGGTTGGAAAGAAAAATGTGTCATTATGCCTAAGTACAGCTGACCCTTGAACAAGACAGGTTGGAACCGCACATGTCCACCTATATGTGGATGCTTTTTCCAATAAATATATTAGAAAATTTTTTGGAGATTTTCAACAGTTTGAAAAAACTTGCAGATGCACCACACAGCCTAGAAATGTCAAGAAAATTAAGAAAAGGTGAGGTAAGTCATGAATGCATAAAATAGGTAGGTACTACTCTATCCATATTTATACAGACATAAGGTGAGTGCTATTTAATATAAAATTAATAATGTGTTGGTTTTCCTACTGTTTTATAACTTTGTTTTCAAAGAATTACATTACTGTACAGTATGCCCCCCTCCCACCCTCTCTCAACTGGAGAAACTATCAGCCTATCATCAGAGGTAAATAGTTTTTAGAAAATATAACAATGTTTCCAATATTGTATTATAAATACGACTAATACTGTATGCCATAAAAATTTTACAACAATTCATTCATTAGCATAAAAACTAAGCTATTGTGAAGCAACTGTATCAATTACACTAGACTACCGTAAAGCAATCATATTGCTGCTGTTCATTACCAATGCATGAATTGTTAGACCTGTAAACAAATATGAATTTCTTTTTCCACATTAACTTTCATCTTTGATGTCTAGTGTTAGTAATACATATAAAACGTACAGTGTTTTGTATCATTAAGACAATACTGACACAGGTACTGACAATTTATCTTGTAAACAGATGATGTAAACTTACGATATTAATAAACACAGTACACACTGTAAATGTTTTCTCTTCCTTATGATTTTCTTAATAATATTTTCTTTAGTTTATTTTATTGTTGGAATACAGTATATATATGTAATATATAAAATATGTGTTAATGGACTGTTCATGTTATCGGTAAGGTTTCCAGTCAACAGTAGGCTACTAGTAGTTAAGTTCTGGGGGAATCAGTTACACGTGGATTTTCCACTGTGCAAGCAGTAGGACAGGGGAGGGAGAGCTGGCACCCCTAACACCCACGCTGTTTAAGGGTCAACTGTATTTTAAACTGAATGAAAATGAAAACAACATAGCAAAATTTGTGAGATACAACTGAAGTAGTGCTTAAGGGAAATTCTTAACACCAAATGCTTACATTAGAAAAGAAGAATCTCTAATGGCTTCAGCTTTCATATTAAGAAACTAGGAAAAGAAGAGCAAATTAAAACCAAAGTATGTGGAAAAAAGGAAATAATAAAGATACAGAAATCAATGAAATAGAAAAGATAAAACAAAGAAACCAAGAGCTGTTTTCTTAAAATAAAACTGATAGATCTCTAGCCAGACTACCAAGAAATGAAAGACAAAAATTACCAATATCAAGAACATGATATGACATAAAGGACAATAATGGAATATAAACAACTTTATGCCAGTAAATTCATCAATTTAGATGAAATGGGCATATTCCTCAAAAGACACAAACTACCAATATTCCCTCAATAAGAAACAATATAAATAGCCCGATATCTATTAACAATTCTAAATCTGTAGTTAAAAACCTTGCCACAAAAGTAACTCCAACAAGATTTGAGATCTCAAAAAAATTCTAAGGAGAGGGAAATAGGCCTACCATATAATTAACAACTATGGCATAAACCAAGGTATGGGAAGGGAGAGATACAGGGTGGGGTGGGGGTGGGCAGGAGTGTGGGGTGGAGTAGAGAAAAAAGAAAGGAGGAGGGGAAGAGGGAAGAAGGGAGGGAGAGAAAGACCTCAAGTTTAAACTTTAGGACTACTTTATTAAACTTTAAACTTTATCTCCCCCTTGTCTCACAAAAGCAAACTTTTATTTCATTAACAAATAAGATAAACACTGCAAAGGGAGGTTTTCTTTAAGTATTTTCTGTTCCTGGGTGATTACTTTTGCCTATCATCACTGGATTCTACCTAACCCCCCCCACCCCCCGGCATTGTCAAAGAGGAAGTAGCAATAATTGGTTCAGGTATCACCTCTAATGAAATTAAATGTAAATGTATGGATGTTTCTAGGCAAATAGGAAGCCTATTAGAGAAATAAATACAGCCCAACACTTTCTTAAAATATAGACCATACTTGAAGAAGAGCATACTAATACACCAAATACACTAAAAGTAGTTTTTGTTTCCTCCACTGTAAGAAATTTGAGAGATGCTTCTGATTCCCTAGACTTTCTTATTTACCAGGCAGGAACTTCTTACCCTTCTCTTCTATGTTTTTAACAGAGCAGAAGCCAAAAAACTTTGCAGTGTTTACTTCCTTATTTGTCCAACAAATCATCATCAGTGCAGTCAGCAGCAAACTGAACAACCCTGGAAGGAATGTTTATTAACTAAACACTGTTCCAAGCCAGTGAGGAGTATAAAAAGTATGACTTGGCTGTTAAGTCTCAAGAATAATTACTATCAATTTTCCTAAACTTGGTTTCTTCCTAGAGTCAGAAGGATAAGTTAAGTCTCTGCAGTAGCAGAGTTGCACGTGATGTTAACAGCTTCTCGTAAATGAGTATATTGCTAAAGAGACAATTTTAAAACCTGTTTTTAGCTAACTAATTACACAAAGTTGCTGGTGGTTCTGTTGTTTACTTTACCTTAACAAAATATTAAATGCCTTAAAGATTTAAAACAAAACAAAAAAACCATAAAATTACTTGTGCCTTCTTCATCCTATAGTTAAAAAATACAGAATTCATTCTCAGAAATGGCATACACACACACACACACACACACTTTCATTAGTGGCATTTTAATGGTTTGGTAAGAGATTATTATATATGTTCCATTTCGGTATACTCCAAAGTATATTCTATTTCAAATGTAGTAATCATTTATTTGCACGTATCATCATCAATTAAATAAACAGTAACAATATACAAGGCTGAGAGGCAGGTTTGTTATTATAACACAATGGAGCTGCAAGCAATTCATTTTGAGTTAACTTTAAATTTATAAACTCAAAGAAGGCAGTACTGGTTCTGTTCAGCTGTAAAATATTCAACCAATATCTGATAAATGAGTAACTAATAATAAATGATAGTGATAAGACTAAAATATACGAAAACAGAGCACTGAGAAAGTCTATTATTCTTTATTTCTTTCCGTAAAAAGAATAGAATTTCTATACAAATTTGTATCATTCCACAAGTTTCATAATTCAGCATTAAGCTGTTTTCACTCACAATGCTTCTTACTCCAAATGTGTGGGTCTTCTCCTTACACCAACCATTTCTCCAATTCTCTGACTCCAACTTGGTATCCAACCGAGAATCAGTTCAATTCTGACACTATCTACCTGGAGTCAGTGTCAGATCTCACAAGTTAAAGGGCTCAGTTCCACAAGACTATTCCCACTTCAGATGCCAAGTGCAAATCCCAAGCCACTGGTACTTCTGACCTACCAGCTATAAATTGGGGGTTCCCACAACCCCCACTCAGGTTCGATAATGCTAGAGTAACCACAGATTTCAGGAAAGCACTTTACTTGCTATCACTGGTCTATTATAAAGAATACAAGTCTGAAACAGCCAAATGGAAGAAAGATGTAGGGCAAGGTACAGGTGTGTGTGTGTAAGGCACAGGGGTGTGTGTGTGTGTGTGTGTGTGTGTGTGTGTGTGTGTGTGTGTGAAGCTCTAGGGCTTTTTTAGAGGTTCCATTACGTAGGCATGATCGATTAAAACATGGTTTTAGGTGACTGAACACCATCTCTGACCCTGCTCCTCTCCCCAGGGGTCAGGGGTGGGGTTGAAAGTTTCAGCCCTCTAATCACATGGTTTAATCTTTCTGGAGATCTGAAGCTATCTAGGGACTGACTGAACACCATCTCTGACCCTGCTCCTCTCCCCAGGGGTCAGGGGTGGGGTTGAAAGTTTCAGCCCTCTAATCACATGGTTTGATCTTTCTGGAGATCTGAAGCTATCTAGGGACTCCAGCCACCAGTCATCTCAGCATGCAAAAGACACTCATCACCCTGCAGATCCCAAGGGTTTTAGGAGCTGTGTGCCAGGAAAGAGAAAAGACCAAATATTTACTTTTTATTATACCACAGCACCTACTCTGTTCTTTGTTACTATGAAAGTGTAGATTTTTTTAAAAGGATGCCACTCTATACAGCAACAACAGAGTTCCTTATTTTAAATAACAAAACATACCAGACCTTAAATATTCAATTGGTGTCATCCTCCAAAACAATTACTTTGGGAGATTATATTATGTTCCAATATTCACATTTCTTTCAGAGCCAGAATACAGGCTACCCAAGGAAATCAGCAATTATGTAGCATCCACATCACACAGACGATGTTTCCAATACAAATCTCCTCATTCATTATTAACTGTATAATAATAAATTTTTCTGACTCATCCAACCACTCCTCACCCTCAAATTACACTATTAAAAAAAATGACAATCTGCTATCAACAAAAATATGTAAAGGAATAGGTCACTGATACTGAAGGTAACATTAAAAGACTTTTTCTAAGTGGTTCAGTACTAATCAATGTTAGCATTTGTAAGTGCATGGTTTTCCAAGATGACAACTTAAATTTAGATATGTGAGTTCAAGTATGTTACTTTCTTATTTTTCAAGTCTCATTATTACATTATGGACCTGTCTTACATAAAATAAGTCCTTAATTCAAAGAGCTAACATCTTTACAGGGTAAAGAGATGGGAGGGAAAAAAGAAAGAAAGAAACTAAGAACTGGCATAAACCTATATTCCTTTAAAACACCTGTTTCTTGTATATACTTAAAATCACCCTAATAACCAATCTAAGTTTACATGTTTATGACATACCATTTACAGCTTTTTCAATCAATTCTTCACAAGCATCAAAATCACCCTTCAGTACCAATTTATCGTGCAGATCTGTTAACATGGGATGTTCCAGGGCAATCTTGGTTTTCTTTTGCAGTGATTCAAAGGCCTCTGTATAGTTATGTTGTCTGAAGTGTTTTAGGCAAAGGCGAATAGCTTCCTGTTCACGGTACTACTGGAACACAAGAGAAGGTATGAAAAGAAGAGATTTGGTTAGTTATTACTGTAGGAAACAATAAGTGATAATTACTAACGTAAAGTGAGCATTTACTAAGCATTAACTAAGTATACTAAGCATAACTAAGCACTGTACTAACCCTATTCATTAGTATTATTATTATATCCACTATTAAATGGCAAAACTGAAGCTTAGTCAATTGTAATAACTCACCAAAGGTCACAAAGTATATAGTAGAAAGATATTAAAGAGATGAACGTATACAGATATATGAGGCATATACTTCATGAAGATAAAAGATATTAAAAGATGAAATCAGGCCTAGTTCTAGAGCCTGAACTTTCAAGAAAAGAACCAGAAAAACTATTTATCAAAGCTTACTTAAGATGGTAAAAATGATAACTTCCAAGGCTTTTACTAATCAGATAACAATGTTGGTACTGAATGCACAGAAACCATTAAATAATATACATAAATGTTTATGCTCTTTGTTCTTGGTTCTTAGTAATAAGTTATTACTTGAATGACAAATATTATCAAATGTTCACGTATTTCAAATTCACAAACAGGTTTTATGATTCAAAATCATCAGAAAGAGACTATTTAAAGTTTTATAATTTTTTTTCTAAACCTGGGCTACCTCATCGATTAAACAGCTATAAAGTAAAAATCTCAATTAATTACAATCCCAAAAGAAATACTCAATTTACTAAATCTCCCCCCCAAAAGGATGCCAAAGAATGCCAAAAAACAAGCTCATATAAAGAATTTAAAAGAAAATTTAATTCAAGAATATGTTATGAATATTTTTTGTACTGAATATTTTTGAGAGAATTTCACAGCAATATGTTATTTTATCTGCTCTATAATACTCCATTAAATAGATACACTTTAATTTAGTGAAAAAAAAAGAATATGTTATGAGATTTCTACAATTTCCTAAATAAGAATTAATAAAATAAACTGATGACACAGAAGCAGTGCATAATAACCAAACAAAAATACAATTTACTTGTAAGCCTTACTCTTTAATAGGCAGGAAAATTTACAAGACTTGAAACACTAATCACTTTATAGTCTCTGATTTTTTATTAATCAAAGGTGATCAAAACATTTTTCCTTAAACACTCTAGTTAACTAATATTTTCCATCATCAAATAACAAAAGAATGATTCTATATCCAAACTAACTTCACATTAATAGTTTCTTATGCTTAGCCTCTAAATAAAGATTTATCCTAACTATCTGGAACCATATTAAACAATAATACCTTTTTGTCATGCTGACTTTAGGAGTATGGATCACATCCACATTTTAAATTTTCTATCAGGCTGCATACAGATACATAGTAGGAGAGGATTTATGAAATGAAATTATAATGCTTTGAAAAAGGATTGAAATTCAAAGAGGTTGAATACTTTAATTTCTAGAGGTTCACAATAAGTAGAGAGAACTTGACAAGTCAATGATTGAACAATTTTAAGTTCTCAAATATAATCTGTCCACAGTGTTGGGGAAAAAAGGTGAAATTTGCAGCTTCCTACAATATCAAGAGATTTGTGAGTATATTAAAGAAGACACATGTACACATCATAGACTAAAGAGAAAAAAAATTTTTTAAGTATCAGAAAAGCTTACTCATTATTTTTTTAAGAAGAACCAATAGAATTTAGAAGATTATAAGTATATACTAAGCACTATTATGTGTATAACACTGTAAAGGTGATTTTTAATGTTTAAAAATATCATCTCTACCTTGAAAGAATTTACAATATTACAGGTAATCCAAGAATATATAAAAAACATACAGAAAATACAAAAAGCCAGCATCTATTTTAAATTGAATATAACCGAATGCCAAAAATAAATCAAACAGAAAGTTCCTCAATTAAGCTGACCAGAAAAGGGCTGAAATTCTATATAAAAAAAATCTTAGGAAGAACCTATATTGCTTCCCAATCGCCTATGAGTTGACAATTCAGCCCTATCTGCAAATAAATATATCAGGAAATAGTGATTAGACTAAAGCTTTATCATTCCCCTAACAAGAAACAGTCCTCCCCCCACAAAAACATAGCCAAAAGAGTCAAATAGATATACATCAGAAACAAAGGTGAAGCATTAAAGGTGTTCAAAAAAAATCAAAGACCTATTTCTTAATAATTTAAATTCACATTTTTCAGGCTGCATTTATTGTATAAAATGACCTATGAATAAAATTATTAAATATCACCTTTATACTCCTTATAAGAATAAGATCATAATATTTATAGAAACTATTTCAAATTTTAGTTAAAAGGAAAAGCAAATATTCCTATTTTACTCAACACAAACACAATGGAGGAATATATAATAAAAGCAATCTGGAACCAAAACCACCCCACTAAAAACTATGTTTAAATGTTTCTATCAATATAGGTTAAAAACAAAATTCAGAGACAGGTGGGTATAATAATGTAATGGCAGACTCTGGTGCCAGACTGACTGAGTTGATATGCTGCCCTGAGCACTTTACAACTGTGTGGCCTTAGGCAAAATACTTAACCTGTGTTTCACTTCATCACCCGTAAAATATGGATAATAACTGTACCTATCTCATAGAGTGGCAATGAGTAAATAAGTGATAAAGAAGCTTAGAACCTGGCAAAACGTAAATGCTTAATAAACGTTGATTAATCTTTATAACTATTATTACTATTCTCAATATTTTAAATTATTCTCAATTGAGACAAGAGAGTGACACAATTCTCTCTTTATTATAGGCACTTGAAGCATGAAATCAAGATTTTAAAATACAGTCCTACCTTACTATACCAGTTGAGACAGGGTTGTACTACATCGGGATCATCAATGCCACTAAGTTCAACATACCAGATGCTAAAGTTAAAGCTGGGTCCCCACGATAAGAGTGGAACTTTGAGGAGAAAAATAAGAAAGAAAAAGAAAAAAAATTAACATAGTTCAAATAAAACTTTAGCAAAGTAAAATCACTATTCAAACTTATTAGGATTCATTCAACAAATTTACTGAATACTTTCTATATCCCCAGCACTGCACTATTGGGTGCTGGGGCCACAGTAGCAAAAAGAAACATATGATCCATGCCATCATGAGGTTGCTTTAATTATAAAAACACTGAAGATAAACTCAAAGTGGTCATTTATCTATCCCCCAAAAAACAGGACCAGGGTTAGATGATTTAGCAGGTAATTTTACCAAACCCACAGGAAACAAATAATTATTATATAATTTAAACTGTATCACAGCACAGAAAGAGACTGAAAGTTCAATTACTTATCAAAGTGGCATAACCTGGAAAACAAAACCGGAAGAGAAAGGTTTTAAGGACAATCTCAGCTATGAGTATATATTCAAAATTTTTTTAAATAATAACTTTTTTAAAAGGCTGAAAAAAATTCTACCAGATTTTCACTGTAACTAAATACAGTTCATTCCAGGAATGGAAGGTTGGTTCAACAGGAGCAACATTAATGTAATTCACTATATTAACAAAGTAAAAGAGAAACACATTTGATTACTTCAACAGATGCTAAGTGCAAATTAATAAAATTTACTTAAAAAAAAACCCCTCAATATATAAGGAATAGAAGGCAAAAGAAAACTTTGTTACCTAGATTTTTTTTTAAGTATCAAAAACCTCAAAAAAACCCAAAAAACCAAAACCAAAACTAATGGAGAAACATTAAGTATTCACACTCAAGTCAGGAACAAGACAAAGAGGCCCAATATCTGTACTACTCAACGCTGTGTGGGAGATCCTAGCTAATGCAATCAGGAAAAAAATTTGCAAATTAAGAAAAAATATTATCACTTGAAGATGGTATAGATTATCTATCTAAAAGATTCAAGAGATTTAACTGAAGAACTTTTAAAGTTTGTATGCAAGGTAAACATGAAAATCAACTTTCCCTGTATCTAGAAAACCCAACTAGGAAATGTAATGAAAAAAGTCTCCTTTGTAATAGTAAAAAAAAGCTTAAAATATTTTAGAATAAAGTTTAAAATATGCAAGAAAATAAAATTTTAAAACATAAAAATTTTACTTAATATGTTCCTAGATGGGAAAACTCAGTTGTAAACATATTAATTCCCCTCAAATTAATTATAAATTTAATGTAGTCTCATAATCCTAATAGTATATATCCAACTTTTTTCTTGACATGTAACCAGACAAGCTGATCTGAAAAAAATCAGTAACACAAAATACCTAAAATAACACAAATAATAAGAAAATAAACATACTAAAATATACAGTAATTATAAGTTTGATATTAGCAAAGGAAAATGAAGTAAAATCACTGGAGCAGAAGAGTGGATCCAAAAATCTCTCAAGGATCCAGAGGAATTTAACATAGGATGAAGATAACATTTCATATCAGTAATGACAGGACAGAGTAGAGGTTTTTAACCTGTGATCCATGGGCTCCTGGGGATCCCCACAGGAGGTCCCATGTGGTCAAAACTATTTTTCATAATAAGACTAGGGCTTTATAGACTTTTTTTTTTTAAACTGTACTGACATTTGCACTCATGGTGCAAAGGCAATGCTGAATAAAACTGTTGGCATCTTGGTAGTGCCACAAAATGTAGCAGGAAAGTGTCCCAGTATTTCTTAATACAGTATGAATTGAACTGTATTCCTTATCATCACACACCTGCAGTTAAAAAACAAAAAGACAATTCATTTAAGAATGTCTCTGATGATGTGTGAGAATAAATTTTAATAAATTCCTATCATTAAGTACACATCATTTTAATATTCTGTGTGATACAATGGAAAGTACACATAAAGTACTTTTGCTGCATACCAAAGCATGAAAGCTGTCTTAAGAAAAAGAACCTGTGTAAGCTGAGTTGTGAGCTGAAATAACCACTGAAATAGCCCTTAAAAGAAAAACTGACAATCTATGATTATTTAGATTTGGGTATTTGACAGATGTTTACCTGTCATTTCAAGGATAACAAATGACAGTTTTGTTGCCAAGGATAAAATTCAAACTTTTGAGGAAAAATTAGAATTTTGGAAAATTAGTATTCACCACTGTGAACTTAGCTACTACCCAGTACTTTTCTGATGAGACTGGTGGTGATAATAACGTTGTGATTTTTTAAAAAATATTATATAATGAAATGTTCCAACATTTGAAAGATGTGCATAACTTAGGGAATCATATTTTCTAAATGACCAATGAATGATTTTACAAAACCATGCATGGATGAAAGACTGATTCAAAGTACAAGACAGGCCAATGGATTTTAATATAACATTGACATGGTTCAGGCTGAGTAATGCAACTACCTTTAAGAAACTAACACTTGCCAATTTTTGATTAAGTATCAAAACAGAATACCCACAATATCTGATATCAGGTCTGCTTATTGCCAAGTCCACTGCTCTTTTCTAGCATATCAGACTCAGTGAAGAGCTAAGATGTACTAAGTCAGATGCTTTTCTATTCTGTCCTCTAAAGGAAGCTGTGTGAGTCAAGATAGAAGCAACAGGAACCAGTCATTAGGATATATACAGGACTCCTGGGATGTTTAACATGGCCTTCAGTTTATATGTGCAAACAACACAAATTTCAAAAAGGTTTATACCAACGAATACTGAATTATCATCACTGTTTTGGTGTTCATTTCTTCATGTAGCAGTACCATTTAAAAAGTGTACTACTATATCACTGCAATAACCATTAAGTAATATAAAAGTCAGAATAAAAAAGGATTTGAAACTCAAGGCCCCAAGAACACAGTCTATAACTGTGACCAGAGACATATAACATTAGTTAGTGATCTGAAATCCATTCTCAAGTTCCAGGTCCAAGTTCAATAAAATTAGGAGGAAAAAAAATCTTCCTACTGTATCTATTCAAGTCAGTAAAACGTTCTTTTATTAAATCCTTTGAAGCAATTGTGGGAGGGAGGTTAAGTAGGCAGTCATCTCACAAGATCATATATTAGATGAATGAAGACTATAGTTAATTTTTAACAGACTGAAGGCATATATACAGAATGAGCAGAATGATATACACCCATTTCAAATTTTACCAATGATTTTTGATGGCATTAACAACACTAATACTGCGTATTAGACATACTCCATATTATATATCAGAAACCTAAATGTGAACTGGAGCTCCAAGCACAACTTCTTCGCTCCCTAATGAAAGATGCCTTTGCTCTCACCTCAAAAAAAAGATTAGAAACTCCTAATACACATCCCAAGGCTAAGAGTTTGTATCCTAAGAATTCAACCATCAGTTTTTCCAGTGGGATAATCAGACAAGGACATGATCAGGATCAGTGTCTCTCATACGTTTTCCATAAAATGGCATGCATAGAAAATGATAAGATATTTAGTACACAAGCATACTAGGCTGCAGGATTTGGCGACTGTACGATTGGTGGGGGTCAACATCTCAACACAAACATATATGTGGTACATTCAATATGCTTTGGTATTATCACTTGGGAAGCTACTGTCTAGACAGCTAAACAGCTCTTAGAAGATGCTAGTACTTTTAAGATTAGCTTCTGGAAGATCTTAAAAATTTAAGATTAACCACTTTGAAAGAGTGCACCTATTCTACTTACAGATTAATAAGTACATAAAGCACTTAGCACAGTAACTGGCACATGGTAAGTGCTCAAGAAATGTTAGCTATTATTATTAGCTCTTATTACTATATTAATTTTCTTCCTTTTTAAATTTATTTTTTTATTGGAGTATAACTGCTTTACAATGTTGTGTTAGTTTCTGCTGTACAATGAATACACTGTATGTATACCTATATCCCCTCCCTCTTGCACCTCCCTCCCTGCCCCCCATCCCACCCATCTAGGTCATCACAGAGCACTGAGCTGAGCTTCCTGTGCTTTATATTTATAGCATGTTCCCACTAGTTATAATTTTAAAATGTTACCTTTCCACATGCTCTCATGAAGGCCACCATCAGGGCACCTTCCCGCCGCCCCACTCCTACCCCTGCCCCCAGAAGACAGGGTACTCATCCAGCCAAAGCTTCTCTGAAGCTCCCACACCCATCCAGGCTGCAAAAATCCAAAAAATTCATAGAAATCCAAGTCATCCCTCTACCAAAAACCAGGACTCCTCCAGAATTCTTCCAAGAATCAGTACCTCCTTCTGCCTTCAAATCACCTTATTTCCTGATATAAATGTTATCTTGGCTATGAATCAAGATATAAACCTTTCTAGTCATCTATAACCAATACTCTCATCCCATTCAACTTTATGTTTTCAGTCATCTGATCTAATCTCCAACTGAGGTTTTTGCTTCCAAACCTTTAACTTGCTCTCTTGAATCTGGCCTCCCAATCAACAACTCTCCTTCTTTACTAAATTTTCTTTTTACTTACAAACCTTACCCAAAACCAAGCTTCTTCCTAAGGCCAACTCTCAACTTCCACACTAAGCCCTATCAAAGATTTCACTCCAGCATGGGCTCTTTGGCTTTTTTGTGTGGTGAACCCCCTTTGGCTATTCAGTGAACCCTGTGACCCAATCCCTCTCATATTTAAATGTAAAATGAAAAATACATAAGATTATAGAGTAAGCAAACTGTATTCAAATATAGTTAAAAAATAATGAAGATACAAAATTATGATATAGAAATTCATATGTTTTTTTATTAACACATTAGATAAGAAGATCTAGTGGCAGGTCTAATAATTATCATAATTTCAAAGTGATGATGACATTTGCCACGGTGTAATGTGATGGGAAATATTTATAACTTCTATCTGTGACAAGTCACAGGTATTGCTAATACTATGAGTTATTGCCTATATTCATAATTGAAGGAAATGCTCAGTACATTTGTTAGAGGTTAGACACCATAAAGATGTAACTTTTCCTCCATTAAGTTCACACAGCCATTGATTAATCCCTATAAATTTCTGTACAATAAACTCAAAAAGTATATACACGATGTCTCTAGTGAGGCAAGCAGTTTGCTTGTTGCTTCTGAAATCTGAGGAGTCTGAAGACAGCTGCTATCCCCTAGGATTTTACAATCTACCTGAGGAAACAAAACTTACATATATCACACAGTAAAAGAACTCAACATTAGTAAAAAGACAGACTTAAGTTTGTATACCATCTCTACGTTCTACTACCTGTAAGGTCTTGGCCTAATCATTTAATTTATCTCTAAACTTCAGTTTCCTCATCTGTAAAGTGAGTGTAATAATACCTATTTCACAGAGTGTTAGGCAGATGCTTCATAAACAATATCTATTATACTACTTTAAAGCAATACAAGCACATATCCAAAAGCATATACCAAATGCTATGTCTTTGATCCATCACTTACTAGCTATGTACCCTGGGACACATCATTTGACTTCTACTCTCATTTTCCTTAACCAAAAAAGGAAAGATTTTTATCTTCCAGTATAGTGCTCAAATGAGATGCCACATGTGAAAGAACTTACAAATGCAAAAACAATAAAAACATATAAGAAGTTCTAAATAATGATTGCTGAAATGACATGATGGTTCAAATTATATTTGTGCATGTACTTTTTCTATAGTACTTAAAATACTACATGTAAGAAGGCATGTAATCAAGAGCTCTATGAATATAAATATATAAAAAAGAGACATTCAAAATGAAAATATTTCCTTCATAAATATGATCTTAAATTAAAATTCATAAGACTACCACTCATCCACAAACTACAAAAGAACTCAAGAAAATGTCCAATATAGCTACCTATCCTATCATTAGACAGAGAAAGTATTATCATACTCATTTTATACAAAAGGTAACTTAAGAAAGGAAAGTAAAATTTACTTAAAGGTCAGTTCAATTATGCTGGCACTGTGGATTATTCACAGCAGATCTTAAAAACCTAACCCCTGCCATGCAGTAAAAATGAAGCCTTACTTTCCTTGTTAATTTGTAAACAAACTTACTTAAATTGGGTCTAAGCCAAATTTAATGAATAAGCTATACTCTTTATAAATGCAAATTATCATATTTAGATGTCAGTGCATGATATGGAGATTATCTGCCATTGAGTTAAGCCTTGCTTCTGTTCCCCTCCATTACTATGAATAACTGAAGGCTGACTATATTTAGAAATTGTGTTGTTTAAGAATAAACTTTTTTGTTTTAAATAAAGCAAGTTCTTTCAAACATATCATTATAGAACATAAATGTGAGGTATTCAAACACATTTCTTCTTTTAAGAAGAATTCCGACAATTTATCCCGGCCAGGTAAACAAGTATCTGTGTGAATCACCACCAAAAGAAAGCTACACATCACTTAAGTGTTTTATCGAAATTATTTTTAAAGAAAACATCAAAGTAAAAAAACCTAGTTTAAAAACAACAAACTAAAAAAAGCCTAACACAGGTTTTAAGTTTCACATTTTCCTTATATTATTTAAAAAAAACAAAACTTATCAAGAGAATGTGGGGAAAAGGTTGAAAAGCAAAAACACTGCAGACCATTATTAACATTTTTTAACAGAAAAGTGAGAAATATGAAGTTATATAAATATTAATACCCTAAATATCAAATGAGTTAATAAGTGTCTTCAATTATTTGGAAAGCTCTAGTTAACATTTTGCCTGAATACCATAAAACTAACCCACCAGGGTCAAGTAAAAAACATCATCATGCCCTACAACTAGAAGGCTGATAGAAAGGGCTGGAAAGAGGTCCAACTTCTTGTTTTCAGGCATCTGAATGTCTAACTGATCCATAAGAGACCTCCGTTCTCCTATAAATTTTTTAAGGGAAGAAACTATTCAAAATCCTTAAACAGACTTTTATTCATAGTTCTAATGAAAAAAAAAAAAAGAGAACATTTCATTTTGCATGACTGAGCAATTAGAGATTGAATAAGTACTTTAAAATTATAAAATCTAAATTTACTACATGAAAATATAAGATATTTTCACTGCTTCTACATTTGGAATGTAAGATCATAGAATTGTTCAAGCTATGCAAGAATCTATAAGAAATGGGTGGTCTGCATACTGAGGAAAGAATTACTCATTAGCATGAAAGAAGAAACAATCAAGAATTTATTTTAAAAATCCGCTTGTTCCTAAATTCTCATAGGTAAACAGGATACAGGTTTTTTATTTACAATTAATTATAACAACAAAAACTATATTTATAAAAGAAAGTAACACACCAAACAGCCCAATGATTCTAAAAATAGTTTCCCCTCTATAAGTAGTCTTTATAGATCTCAGATATTCTTTTCATCTAATGGAACTATTTGACTCAATGAATTGAACAGGCCAACTCTTGATAGACTGGGAAACAGTGACTATGGAGCTGGTCCTTCCAAAAGAGGAATTTTCTCCCAAATCAAAACATGGGATTCTGGCTTTAATTATCATTCTTAAAGGGATATGACTCACCTTAATCTCAATTTTAACATAATATTTTCAAAGGTATGAAATATAGATGGCAACTAAAAGAGTCAAGTCCTCAACCTTCCTACCTTCTAACTAATCCATCTTATAGATAAACAAAATAATCCTCAAAACACTAGTTTTGAGGAGGCATTACACACACTTTCTTAACCTAAAACACTTGCTAAATAAACACAATAAATGCTTAGGTAGCATTTTTCAAACATTACTTTGAAACTTATTAATGAGTTATGAAATTAGTTTTATGAGTTTGACGAACATTATCACACACACACAAAAGAAATATAAAAGAAAAGAATAGAAAATAACCATAATATATGGCCTTAAGGAATACGGCAATATTTGGTTTTAGAATGATATAACTTCAAAACTGATAAACCTTCCATAAAACAATCAAGGCAATCAAATCCATATATCTCATAAAATGAGAAAGTATTTAGAAAAGGTTCTAAGAAACTTTCAAATGAGAAAGTAGAAAAGGTTCCATTTGAAATAACTGTCACTTAGTTACAGATTTATAAAGTAGGGGGTCAGCCAGATAGTAAACATTTTGGGCTTTGTGGGCTAGGTGGTCTCTTGCAACTACTCAACTTTGCCATGTAGTGCAAAAGCAGACAAAGACACTATGTGAACAAGTGGCATGGCAGTGTTGCCATAAAATTTTATTTTAAAAACAGGGAACCTGCAGGATTTGGCCCACAGGCTGTAGTTTAGTTTGATGACTGATGGTATAAAGAACTTATTTCTACTCCAGAATGCTGAAAACCTTACCTATTTTAATGAATCGACAAGGAAACATCTGTTCATCAATTTTATGCTTCAAGGTAAATGTTTCTTTGTTATAATCATTCTTTAAGCCACTGTGAAAAAAAATAACGTTATCAAATCTGATTTCATAATTTAGTAAATGCACTAAAACAGAGATTAATATCATACTCTGATTTTAAGGTCAACAAACGCTCAGAATATATGACAGGGACAATGTAACGAAGTAGCTGAACATGAGAATATAGGACAAAACTTGTACATTCACATCAACTGCACTATACTGTATTCTCTTAATTAAATGAGGGCTAATGAAAAAATGTATTAATTAAAGAATGTGACTACAATACATGAAAATGTGTGACAAGACCTAGTGTCCCTAATGTATAACTAAATACAATATAAAATATTCAAGCAATAAGAAGAAAATTTAAAAACAATTCATACTCCTATCTTAAAACTTAAACAGAGCCAAATATTAGAATCTGTCAAAGAATTAAGTTATTAAATTCTGACTAAGATGCCAATGTTCCTTTTATAGCTGAATAAATTTTCAAAGACAACCTTACTCTGTTGGTTTAATAGCATCTGCTTTATCCTACATAAAAATAAACCCATATCACTTCTCTACTTAAACAACTTGGGCTGACTCAAGTATTTATGGGAAAGTCACTTACTGTCAGGTTGCCTTATATTCTGATATACTTTCATGACCTAAATCAAATGTAGTCTAGATGTAATACATACTTATATAAAATATTGTGCTAAAGGGACACACCATGTCACAAATATATCCTAAAACTGCATAGCTTTATTTGTCCACTCCATCTTCTATCCCATTTTTCATCATCTAGAGGGCAAATTAACATTCATTCCTGGTGATCTATGTTGTCAAAACCCAAATTTACTGAGCTCCTTCCAAGAGGTAGGCACTGCAGTAGGTGCAGTCACATACTTTTACTCTGTTTAGTTTCCAATTTATACTAAACTCCCAGAATATTACTTCCAGATTAGGGCACTCAATCTTAATGCTCTGGACAGATTCTATATTTTTACATCAAGGATTACAGCAAAGATTTTTATTATATCTGAGAAGTATATGTGAAGTCATTAACAATTCAAAAATAAGACGGAAAAATAAGAAGTAGAAAAATACCTCCAAATTTTATTCTTTCTGCTTTGGTAACAATATTAATTAGTATCTGGTGGGAAAAAGCTAACTAAAGCACAATATTAAAATAAGGCACTAGAAATAAAATAGTAGAAATACTCTTTTCTCCTTTGCAAGAAAAAACAAACCATGCAGATTTAGCTACAAAGAGACTAAACTAGGACTGCAGATTGTTTAGAAACTCTTTCCTCCCCATAATCATAACCCACCTGGACAATAGCTCTGTCATGTTTTCTTCATTCATTCCACCAAAGACTTTAAATTTCTTCAAATTGCAGACATGAGTTTTCTCATATTTTCCAAATGTGATATTCTGGACTATAGCAGGTCTTTCAAGCTTCAGAATCAAGTACTACAAAAAGGAACAACCAAATTATATCCTCCATTTAAAACAAATCGCTAGACAACATGAATAGTTAAAATTTTGTCCAGTTAACTCAAGAACGAATAATGTTCATCCTGTCCATCCTACACTGGCAGATTTTTTTATTTTTATTTTTTATGCTAAAGGATAGTATGCAACAGTCAAGCTACCATAACATCACCACTTTCTCCCAGGAAACTACATCATTCTCAACAATGTAGATGAAGGAGGGAAAAAAGGACTAGTGAGATAACTTCTAATCAAGGAATGACATTCAGTAAGATATAACAGACTATGAATAATGAAATAAAACAAAATTAGAATGCAAAAGTAACAATTACATATTCTCACTGACTACACTTCAATAATAAATTCAATGTTCAAAAATCAGTGGTAAAATTTTAAACCTAGAAAAAAACAGATTTACTATTCACCCCTGCCAATTTTATAAATTAAAAAACTCAGACCTACCATAGATATATCCAATATAGCTCAAGTTTTGCTATTATACACAGGATAAAATGGCGTCAGTTCATTAGGGAACACATTTTACATTATGCAGGCTGTCTTCAATAATAAAAATTAAGAAGGGAACTACTACTTGTCAAATACATGGGGAAAAAGCTATTTAGAAAACAACTCATGTTACATGTTGGAGTGGCTTCATGCTTCATCATAATGGGTAATACTCATGATAAAGGAGAAAAGAATGAAGTTGGTGGTCCCACTTTGTACCATACACAAAAATTAACTCAAAATGTATCAAAAGTGATCCAAAATCGAACCAATACAATCAAACCTAAGACATAAAAGTAAGAGGTAAAACTATAAAACTCTTAAGATGAAAATAGGGGTATATCTTCATGACTCTGGATTTGGCAATGGATTCTTAGATATGACTCCAAAGTACAAGCAACAAAATATAAAATAAACTGGACTTCATCAAAATTAAAGTTTTGTGCATCAAAGGACACTATCAAGAAAGTGAAAAGAAAACCTATAGAGTGGGAGAAAATACTTGCAGAAATGTATCTGATGAGGGTTTAGTACCTAGAATATATAAGGAATTTGTACAACAAGAAAAAGACAGACAACCTAATTTAAAAATGGGCAAAGGACCTCAATAGCCCTTTCTCCAAAGAAGATAAACAAATGGCCATCAAGCACATGAAAAGGTGTTCAACATCACTAGTCATCAGGAAAATGCAAATCAAAATCACAATGAAATATAACTTCACACACACTAGGATGGCTATAACCAAAAAAAACACAAAATAACAAGTGTTGGAAAGGATGTGAGGAAACCAGAACTCTTATACATGGTGCAGACAATGTGGAACAGTTTGGTGGTTCCTCAAAAAGTTAAACATAGAATTACTACATGACACAAAAGTTCTACTCCTAGTTATATAATAAAAATAAATGAAAAAGGTATTCAAACAAACACTTGTACATGAATGTTTCGAGCAGAACTATTCACAATGGCCAAAAGATATATACAACCCAAATGTCTATCAACTGATGAAAGGACAAACAAAAAGAGAGTATGTCTGCACAATGAAATATTATTTAGCCATGAAAAGGAATGCAGTACTGATACATGCTACAACATAGATAAACCTCAAAAACATGTTAAGTCAAAGAGGTCAAATGCAAAAGTCCATATATTGTTATGACTCTATTTACATAAAATATTCAGGTAAATTCACAGATGCAGAAAGCAGGTAAATTCATAGAGGCAGAAAGCAGATTACTGGTTGCCAGGAGCTGGGTTAAGGGTGAAAGGAGAAACTGCTTAATTGGTACCAGGTTTTCTTATAGGGTAATGAAATAACTAGATAGAAGTGATGGCTGTACAACATTGTGAATGTACTAAATGACACTTAATTGTACACTTTAAAATGGTTAGTTTTATGCTATGTGAATTTTACCTCAATAAAATAAAAGAATGAAGCTGGTGGTAACATAAAAGATGATGATATAATTAATATCTTGTGAGTACTAACTCCCTTGTCTGACAAATTATTCAGATTTTTATGTGTATTATCTCGTTTTAATAGGAGTAGGAGGAACAGGAGTAGTATTTTAATAACAATAATCATCCTCTTCATCCTCATTTTAAAAATTCTGGCTTAGAAAGGCTAAATAACTTACTACAGTTACACAGCTAAAAAACGGCAGAGCTTAGATTAAAAATCAGTCAATCTGCAAACGAGGCAAGAATATACAATGGAGAAAAAAGTCTCTTCAATAAGTGGTGCTGGGAAAACTGGACGGCTATATGTAAAAGAACCTAAATTTAAGACCGGATACTGTAAAATTCCTGAAAGAAAACACAGGCAGCACACTCTTTGACATAAATCACAGCAGTATCTTTTTCGGATCAATCTCCTACAGTAATGGAAATAAAAACAAAAATAAACAAATGGGACCTAATGAAACTTAAAAGCTTTGCACAGCAAAGGAAACCATAAACAAAACAAAAAGACAATCTACAGAAAGGGAAAAAATATTTACAAACAATGAGACCAACAAGGGGTTAATTTCCAAAATATACAAACAGCTCATACAGCTCAACATAAAAAACCAAACAACCCAACCAAAAACTGGGCAGAAGATCTAAATAGACATTTCTCCAAAGAAGACATACAGATGGCCAACAGGCACATGAAAAAATGCTCAACATCTCTAATTACTAGAGAAATGCAAATCAAAACTGCAATGAGGTATCACCTCACACTAGTCAGGATGGCCAACATCAAAAAGTCTACAAATAATAAATGCTAGAGAGGGTATGGAGAAAAAGGAATGTTGGTGAGAATGTAAATTGGTACAGCCACTACAGAGAACAGTATGGTGGTTCATTACAAAAAATAAAAATAGAGTTACCATATGATCTAGAAATCCCACTCCTGGGCATACATTCGGAGAAAACTATAATTTGAAAAGATACATGCACCTCAGTGTTCACAGCAGCACTATTTACAATAGACAAGACATGGAAGCAACCTAAATGTCCATCGACAGATGAATGGATAAAGATGTGGGGTGTGTGTGTGTGTGTGTGCGCGTGCGCGCGTGTGTGTGTATGTAATGAAATATTACACATCCATAATAAAGAATGAAATAATGCCATTTGCAGCAACATGGCCAGACCTAGAGATTATCATAAAGTGAAGTAAGCCAGACAAAGACAAATAATATATGTTATCCCTTATATGTGGAATCTTAAAAAAAAAAAATGATACAAATGAACTTATTTACAAAACAGAAATAGACCTACAGACATAGAAAACAAACTTATGGCTACCAAAGGGGAAAGGATGGGGAGGGATAAATTAGGAGTTTGGGATTAACATATACACACTACTATATATAAAATACATAAACAACAAGGACCTACTGTATAGCACAGGGAACTACACTCAATATTTTGTAATAATCTATTAAGGGAAAAGAATCTGAAAAAGAATATATATATAAATATAACTGAATCACTGTGCTCTACATCTGAAACTAACACAACACTATAAATCAACTATAGTTCAATTAAAACATTTTTTTCTTTTTTTTTTTAGCGGTATGCGGGCCTCTCACTGTTGTGGCCTCTCCCGTTGCGGAGCATAGGCTGCGGACGCGCAGGCTCAGCGGCCATGGCTCACGGGCCTATCCGCTCCGCGGCATGCGGGATCTTCCCGGACCAGGGCACAAACCCGTGTCCCCTGCATCGGCAGGCGGACTCTCAACCACTGCGCCACCAGGGAAGCCCTAAAAAAAACTTTTTTAATCAATCTGATTTTGTCTGATACTGTTGGTTGGCTGACCCAACCTCCATTCTCAATCCAGTTCTTCCTAGCCACCTTCTGGCCAAAAATAGATACATGGTAAAATTCTGGTCAATGAGATAAGCAGAAGTTTGTTGTGGGCTAAGTTTTGCTTTTTGAAACAAATGCTACCTCTTTACTATCTGAACAGTTACAGCTGTAACATCCACTGTGCAACAATGAAGAAAAAGATTAAGAGAATCTCACAGATAGCCATCCCTGAGCCACTCAACTTTCACCAGTAACTGCCTAACTCTAGTTTCCTTGTGTGTGGCAGGAAAAGAGATGGGGTGATGGCGGGAAAGAAACTATTTGTTTAACCCACTGTTATAGGACCTTCTATTATTTGGTGCTAAAAGCATTCCTACTGATTCACTAACCCCACAGTCAAACCTTTATTTAATGACTACACAATAACAACTGTTTAGGTTTATATGAGGTTTACATTCTAATCAGCTATTAAGATTTCTTTACTATAAAAATTGCCATAAGAAAATTGAGATTGCTATTCTTAAGTTATTAATCCTTTTTATCCATATCAAATTAATAGGTGTGGTAATATGATTTTTGTTAACTGAATTTCTTAAGAATACAGCTGTATATTAGAGAACAGACTACACAGCTAGGCAAGGGACTATTTACATCTCTTTGTCTTTCTCATGAACTCCCACTTCCTCCCATCCCTTCCTCCTCCTTTCTCTCTTTGGTCATTCTTTAAAGTCTCAGTTTACAAGTCAGTTTTCTCTAACTGGTTAGTTAGATACAATGTTGTAACTAGCAAAAATGGATCTTTATACAATCTGTTGTATACCATCCATCATCCATCATACAACACCTCTGAATACAACCAAAAGCATTTGTCTATATAAAATTTTATTTATAACCAAATAGGATTTTGTTATTAAAAATTACATAAGTAAAATGTAAATTCTCTAACTGAAGTAAAGCACAATGATCTGGCAAATACATTTTAGGTAAAATTTTTAATGTTTAATCACATTATTGATACATTTTATAACTTTATTTTTCAAACTCTTAGGCATCAATGCTGAGTACTGTTACTATTAAACAGTGTTATCCCATAGTTAAAGAGGTTTCCATTACTTTTAATTTGGAGAAATAACTGCTGTAGATTTAGTAATAGAAACTGTAAAAAAAAAGTCA